GTGTTGACTGCCTCGGGCAGCTGCTGCGTGTGCGGCCATGCTCTCAAACCTACAGCTCCAAGGACCTTTTGGCTGGTTACCTAGCTCGTAGACCTGCCTGTGAAGGGTTTGTGACCCAATCTGGAAAACGGGCTTGAGGGGGTCTGTGAACTCCAGACCCAGCCCTAGGTCAAATACACAAACAATACTTTTTAGCTTTACTCCCATTTGGACCTCTGACTCAGTGATTAATCTTGGTCTTTCTACTTCTGATAGCATCTTTGATCTATATATTATAATTAGCAGTTACTTCCCAAATGATTTTTTTNTCTAGAATAATGTTTAACAAATATTAATGGTGGTTACTTCTAGATAATGGTATTTAAGTTTTGTTTTTAAAATTACTTTGTATACTCTTCCATTTTTTTATTTTTTAAAATTCAAGTTGAGGGCCGGCCCGTGGCTCACTCGGTAGAGTGCGGTGCTGATAAAATTCAAGTTTATTTATATTTATTTTTGTGGCATACAATGTATTGTTTCAATGCATGCGTATCCTGCACAATGATTCACTCAGGGTGGATAGCATATAGTTGAAGTACTCTTAAGGCAGGGACCAGAAAAGGGCTGTTCTAATAATGGATTATTAAAAGATTTGGGGGCTTGAATATTTGCAAAATTGTATTACACCATAGAAAGAGGACTAGATTTGGAGTTAGAAAACACAGGTTAAAATTCTAGTTTGGCAAATCGCTAATAATGCAAGTGCAAATTTCTTAGGGAGATAAATGGTCAGAACTTACTCAGAAATTCCTGAGGTCTATGTCTATCTTTTCAAGACCCTTTTAGCTCTGGATAATTAATTATTTCATTTATTGAATAAACTTAAGTTTTACCATATGGAGACCTGTTAATAGCTCATTTATTAAAATCTTTTTCCTTTTCAAGGCTTGTTTACAAATTGATCCTGCTGAGAGGATTTCATCTACTGATCTTTTGCATCATGAGTATTTTACTAGAGATGGATTTATTGAAAAGTAAGCATTTTGAATGAATGTGGTCTTTTTTAGCATTTTATATTAGGAAATTTTACTAGCAGGAGAATTGCTACATAGGTTAATGTTACATAACAAATATCTAACAGACGCTGAGTTATTGTATCAGGTATTGACTAGGTATTTGGTAGACTTACAGGTATCATAGGTGAAAATTCTAGTAATAAAAATAATTGCAGCTAATGTTTGTTGCACAGTTACAATGTCCTAGGCCGTGTGCTGAATTCTTTATATAGTACGATTTCAGTGTTGTCATAGAACAGAGATAATATTAAATACACTGTTGGGAAAATAGAATAATTTAATCAGGCCCCCTTACCTTGTGTCTGGCTGGGGGTGGTGCAGTGCATTCTTTGTAAATAAGTTGTGCATGGGTGGAGTTCATGTGCATGGGCGGTGCCGCCACTTGTCTGGTGTTGACTGCCTCGGGCAGCTGCTGCGTGTGCGGCCATGCTCTCAAACCTACAGCTCCAANTTCTGATAGCATCTTTGATCTATATATTATAATTAGCAGTTACTTCCCAAATGATTTTTTTTCTCCATTTATTGTCTGTTGTCTTATCCTACCCACTAAATTGGAAGTTCCCTGAAGATAGAGACCATGCTTCGAAGTTATAGCTCTTCTATGTTCCACATTGCCTATGACATGCTCAGCATGTAGTATGTAATGACAATTTAGATTTATTAGTCAACCATATTTCTAAAAAACACCATTTTATATTTGGGCTTTGAAAGAAACAGGAAAAGTTTCTTATTAATTGCAAAATCATTCAGTTGGCCTTTGGACCTGAAGTCAGAGAGATGGACATCAAATAAAAATGCGATAGAGTTCGGGCCGGCCCGTGGCTCACTTTGGAGAGTGTGGTGCTGATAACACCAAGGCCACGGGTTTGGATCCCTGGATTTCCTCACTTGGTAGAGCATGGAAATAACAACACGAAGTCAAGGGTTAAGATCCCCTTACCGGTCATCATTTACCGAAAAAATGCGATAGGGTTAAAGTCAGGTATGGAAAAGTCCAGGAACTGCCACTGGAGATAGACTAAATAGAAAAAGGCAAAGAAAAGAGAATCCTTGAGCATAACGAGAACTTCAAGCATTTAAGGAATATTACTCTCAGACAAAAAATGAGAAGAAATGAGAAGGAGCTATATTGAAAGTGCCATTGGGCTGGCCAGTTAGCTCACTAGACTAGAGCGTAGTGCTGATAACACCAAGGTCCAGGGTTCAATCCTTGTACCTGTACTGGCTAGCTGCAAAAAAAAAAAAAAAAAAAAGGGCCAGTTTTTGAAAAAAAGGTTCTTTCATATCAATTTTACATAGACTAAANAAGCATTTAAGGAATATTACTCTCAGACAAAAAATGAGAAGAAATGAGAAGGAGCTATATTGAAAGTGCCATTGGGCTGGCCAGTTAGCTCACTAGACTAGAGCGTAGTGCTGATAACACCAAGGTCCAGGGTTCAATCCTTGTACCTGTACTGGCTAGCTGCAAAAAAAAAAAAAAAAGAAAGTGCCAGTTATTGAATAAAAGGTTCTTTCATATCAATTCTACATAGACTAAATTGATTTCTTTCGGATGTACAGATATTAGGATTTTACTATCATGGGGTAAAAGTACCTTAAGTTTAAATTATAGAGCCTTTGGAAAATGTTTGAGTAAGACCTTTTCCTTTGATAAGATGCCTCTTTCTTTCGTGGGCCTTTCTGCAATGCAAGGGTGTTTGACAGAAAAGTTACATTTTCTCTTTTAGCCAAGATAATCACAATTGTTCTTTATTTTTTTCATCTCCTCACACTGCCTTTATTAAACATGTGCCAGCATTGGCGAGAGTTGGCTGGAACAGGGAAAAATTCATTCATGGACTGATGTTTTAGAACTTTCCCAAACTGATAGCAGTAGCTGCTTCAATGAGGGGGAACTGTGTAATTCAAGGAAAGAGTAGGAAGGTGACTTTTCAGTATAGCCTTTTAAATTTTGAACCATATGAATGGATTTTCTGTTAAAAAAAAAAACTTTTAAAAAGAAAGACCACTAAAACCAAAACAATCTCCCTTCAATATTAATGTATTCTTACATTTTGTACTGAAAATATTTCTTCAGAGTAAGATTTCAAAAAACTAATTAGTTAATTTTTTAAGTCCTGTTACTTTAACCACAAAGAGGACAAAGTGGTCTGAGACTTCCTCAAAAAGAATAGTATATCAAAATTAAAAACTACTTTTACTGAGCAAAGATTGCATCACAAAAGGAATCTAATTCATATAAGTTTAATTTGTAAAAGCTTTATGTAGTAGTTTTTTTTTTTTTTTTTTTTTTGACTGGTAAGGGGATTCGCAGCCCCTGGCTTGGTGCTGTCTGCACCATGCTCAGCCAGTGAGCGCACCGGATCGTTGAACCTGTGGCCTTGGCGCTATCAGTGCCGCACTCTCCCGAGTGAGCCACGGGACCAGCCCTGTAGTAGATTCTTTATGGCAGTGAAAGATGTATCTTTACTAGGAAGCAATTTTTATTAGATAAATGTGCCATCTCTTGTCATGAATTATAATTATAAAGCATTATTTGTGCTATAGCTGAAGTGTAAACTAATTGATTAAATTGTTCATTAAAGGGCCAGCCCGTGGCTCACTCGGGAGAGTGCGGCACTGATAGCGCCAAGGCCACAGG